CAGTATATTCTATGTACATTTTTACAGTTTTAACTCTATGGACGAAAACACAAATACAATACAGTTTGGAACTTTTTTATATTAAATATTTTCAATAGCCTTTAGCCTTGAAAATTGAGAAAGATAAAAATATTTCTTTTAACAAACTATTGCATAATTTCTACAATAACTCTATTGGTTTAATCCCATTCCTTTGATACTGATATTCGCCATTCTTTGTTTTCATTCTGCGGGGGGGGGGGCGCCCCCCTCTTAGGATCCCGGCCGCCCCTCCCTCATTGCACCTCTGGGTGCATTAATGATTTAACCTTTTTGATAGTAACCAAGATATTTGGCCACTTTACCACTCTATCAAAGTGTTAAATTTTAACAATTTTCTTTTTGGTCTCGATCTGATGCATGGATCCACATGTCACTTTAATATAAAAACTATACAATTGAAAATAAAAAATGTTCAGCTAAAAAATCATAGATTATAGAATTTGGAGGAACCTTGTGAGTAGAACATACCAATATAAATGGAGGGACACTTGACATTACGTGAATAATCTTGGTCTTTTGATATGAGTTATGTTGGGACTTGGGAAATATGTAAATGTCACAACATTTAAGTTAAACATTTATAAAGATAATGATTACGTAAATTTGATAAGGAAACATTTAATTGAATACATTGAAAGAAATAAAAAGTAATGAAAAGATTTCAAACAAAAAGTTCTTAATATTAAATATGGCGGCGGTGGGGGGAGTAAATCCACGAGTTCCGGTGTCGGTTTCTTGAGTCCAATGAATAGGTTTGGTTTGGTTTCAATAGGTTGCATGACAAACTCGCGCATTTATCCGTTGCGAAGCTTTTCAATTCAATCCAACAAAGGGTTTCACAGGACCAGGGGCCGGGGCTTTATCGTTGAATTTTTACAATATTTTGTAAAGATTGTGTACACTGTACATTTTACCACCATTCAATGTTTTTAAATCACAGAAGCAAGAAAGGGGTTTGATGTGGGGGTAAAAAGGCGAATTTTCTTTCAATTTAAGATCCTAGAAGAATGTCTGCATATTGTCTTAAAAATGTTTATCTTGATGGACTTTTACATCTTTACATCTTTACACCTTTACATCTTTACATCTTTACATCTTTACATCTTTACATCTTTACATCTTTACATCTTTTGTTTGCATCAATAACAACCTTTTAAATTAAAATTCAATTTAGCTTGAAATGTGATATGTTTTGAATAAAATGAATAAAAAAAAGATTGTTTTGGGTGCTAAANTTGCCATATATTCTTCTTGATTAAGCAATAGATTCCACTTGGAGGCTTTCATAGCCGGCACACATGCTTATATTTATACTGGATACATCGCGCTAGAGCTTTCATAGCCGGCACACATGCTTATATTTATACTGGATACATCACGCTAGAGGCTTTCATAGCCGGCACACATGCTTATATTTATACTGGATACATCACGCTAGACTAATATTCAGTGATAAAACACGCATTTAAAAATCCACGTCTGTTTTAAACTCAGAATTCTTCACTTTTTTGATAAAAGCATTTTATTGCAAATGTATATTTTTTTTGTTGGGACAAAATTTGCCGAAAAGAAATAATTAATGCAGTTGATAGATATTTTGTCTTTATATTTCAGATGTTTTATATTATTTATAATCAAGGGAATTCATTTTACCTTTAACTATACTGTGAACAGACAATCAATGAGAATGAAAAAAAGGATGCATATTTTTTAACTCAATGAATTTACTATTAACTTTACAGACAGCTTGGGAGTCCCAAGAAAAACTTTATCTGTCAAAAAAAAAAATCAAAATTGAAAAAATCATTTAAAATAAAAAAATTTTGCAAGGTTTTTTATTTATCCTTTTGATTTAGGATTTTTGGGAAAGTACACATACAACCTTATAATTGAGATTAATAATTCAATATTTTCAGGGGTTTGATCCTTTAAAATCAAAACATTAAAAAAAGGGTTTGTGACTTTTTTTTATATAATCGGGACTTCAGATCAGTATTTTTTTAAATATGAAAGTAATTAATTTTTTATACCTTTGCAGTATATATCTAGTTTTTATATATAGTTACTCTAGGAGTAGGTATTATAAATTTACTAGAAGAGGATTGTTCTTTGATTTACTGTCTCGTTTTGTCTTATATTGTATGTATGTGTACTGTACAGCTTGCTGTTAGAGGTTCAAAGTAGGTCCCCTACTTGAAATAACCGGAGTTTATGTATAACTGTGAAAAACATATGTTTATTTATGTAAAACTGTGACATTAAAACATACATATGTGTATTTATGTGAAACTGTGAAAAACATACATGTGTTTATTTATGTAAAACTGTGAAAAACATATGTTTATTTATGTAAAACTGTGATCCACACATATGTTTATTTCTGTGAAACTGTGATCCACACATATGTTTATTTCTGTGTAACTGTGAAAAACATATGTTTATTAATGTAAAACTGTGATCCACACATATGTTTATTTATGTAAAACTGTGATCCACACATATGTTTATTTATGTAAAACTATGATCCACACATATGTTTATTTATGTAAAACTGTGATCCACACATATGTTTATTTATGTAAAACTGTGATCCACACATATGTTTATTTATGTAAAACTGTGATCCACA